ATGCCAGTATTTAGAATTCTTCTCTAAAAATTAGGCAAGAACCCTCTCTGGCTTATTAATATTGGGGATTTATTAATAAGCATATGGTGATATCATATGGCACCCCAAATTCCAGTAACATATGGTGATTCTGGGGAAGTTTAAAAGGCTACATTTTGGTATATATTTTAGGGGTCATTTCTGATATCAGTTTTCCATCTTTAAAATGGAGTTTTAGCATGAACATCTTCTCGGAGACACAGGTCCAGCAATCCCTGTTGTACCTATTTTACCTACAGCATCCATTATAATACCTGGTACACAGAGCTTCAATACAGTTTTAAAAGTGCATTTTAAAGTCATTCTTTTTTTAAATGTTTATTTATTTATTTGAGAGGTAGAGTTACAGGCAGAGAGAGGGAGAGACAAGAGTAAGGTCCTCCATCTGCTGGCTCGCTCCCCAAATGATCACAACAGCTGGAGCTTGACTGATCTGAAGCCAAGTGCCAGGATCTTCCTCCAGGTCTTCTGTGTTAGTACAGGGGCCCAAGCAGTTGGGCCATCCTCCACTGCCCTCCCAGGCCGTAGCAGAGAGCTAGATAGGAAGAAGAGCATCTGGGACATGAACCAGCACTCATATGACACGCTGGCACCACAGGCAGAGGTTTAGCCCACCATGCCACAGTGCCTGACCCTGAAAATCATTCTTCAATGTCCATAGCTCTTGGGGCTGGTGCTGTGGCTTAGCAGGTAAAACCGCAGCAGGTAAAGCCACCACCTCCAGTGCTGGCATCCCATGTGGATGCAGGTTCGAGTCTACTCCACTTCTGATCCAACTCTCTGCTATGGCCTAGGAAAGCAGTAGAAGATGGCCCAAGTTCTTGGGCTCCTGCACCCACATGGGAGATCTGGAAGGAGCTCCTGTCGCAGCTCTCATCTTTGTGAGTGCTAATTGGGGAATGAACCAGAGGATGGAAGGCCTCTCCCTTTCTCTCTCTCTCTCTCTCTCTCTCTCTCTCTCTCTCTGCCTTTCTTTCTCGGTGTAACTCTTTCAAATTAATAAATACATCTTTAAAAAAAATAAAGTTCATAGCTCTTTGGAAAAATTTTTATTTATCTATTTAATTGATTTAAAGGGCAGAGAGAGAGAGAACTTCCCATCTACTAGTTCATTCTGCAAATGGCCACAAAAGTTAGGGCTGGGCCAGGAGAAAGCTGGGAGCTAGAAACTTAATGGGAGTTTTCCAATGGACCCAGTTCTTGAGCCATCACCTGCTGTTTCCCACTGTATATCTCATCAAGAAGCTGGAATTGGTAGCAAAGCCAAGACTAGAACCACTCATTCCTTGAACCCAGGCATCTTAACCCTCATACCAAATGGCTGGCACTAAAATTCAGAGCTCTTTCCTTTTAAATATTTATTTATTTATTTATCTATCTGTTTATTTACTTAAATAAACATACTTATTTAAATAGAGAGCGGGAAAGACAAAGAGAGAATCTTCTATTTACTGCTTCACTACTGAAGTGGCTACAAAGGCTGGAAATGAGCAAGCCAAAACCAGGTGCCTGGATGAGTAGCATGGGACCAAGTATTTGTGCCACTTTCCACCCTTTTTCCAGGCACATTAGCAGGAAGCTGGATCAGAAATGGAGCACTTGTTACTGGAATCAGCGCTCTGCTATGGAACGGTTGTGTTGAAAGTGGAAGCTAAACCTGCTGGATCACAACAGCAGCCACAGAGCCCTTTAACTCCATCTTTTGTCTGAAATTCTATTAGAGTATTGTTAGTCTATCCTACCATTTAGCAGATCCTACACTTTCTACTCTTGTCATGTGTTTTTCCTTGTGAATGCTTTTGTCCTTCAACCTGCCTTAGACCTTCTGAAAGCAGACCCTTATTCACTATCAACGTCCTTATCTTCTCAGAGCACTTGATACAGTGCTCTGACAGGTGGTTTGTGATACTAGAGACAGGTCACCTAGGATGGGGAAAACTGAGTTCTCATTCACACTCCTCTCAACCCTCTGACAAGTATGCAGGTTCATTATTCATCAGAGGAAGATGCTATTGCTTCCCTGTGCTGTCTAGCTCACAAGGTGCTTGTAAGGACACAGTTTTTAAACAAGTACATATGGCATAGCACCTGCTTGCAGAGCAGTACAGAATAATAACACTAATCTAACAATCAATGCAATCTATTAGGCTCTTACTATGTGCCAGACACCTGCCAGCTCTTTCTACACCCAGTTTCTGAAGACAGCCTGACATAATAATGAAGAGCTAGATTCTTTAGCCAGACTCCCTGAATTTGATATAGAGCACCCCCATAACTAATTGGAGAAGTTGCTGCAGAACCATCAAAACTGGATCTACTCAGCTGAAATGCAGTGAGCTAAATACAGATGCCAGGGTGGTAGAAGAACAGCAGCGTAAATTGCAAATTGCAGAGCGAAGATATGGGCAGTCATTGCCTAATTCCCTGGATTTCTGAAGTGTTAGGAATAAAAGTTCTTATAGGTTGAAGTTGGAGCTGAGAGATGCGTGTTTAGCTAGAAACAAAGATCATAGTTGGTCTGCAGTGCTCAAGGCCCACCTTCAATTTGTTGGTGATATTGTGTTATGGATATTTGATGACGGCAAGGTGGGCTCTCATCATCCTGGGTCTGTGTGCAGGTGGCTGTTACATTTTACCCAGGGCCTGGGATTCCTGGAAAAGGAATCTCTCAAGACAAGACTGAACATCAAAATATTATCTATAAAGGAGATAAATGACCTCATGAATCTAGTGATTAGAAACCCTATAGGGCTAATTTGATTAAGATGTTGATTTACAATTATAAAAACAGGAAAAAGAAACTAAGCTAAGGAAGGGTGTGGTGGAATGAGAAGGCCATAACAAGACGGCCACTGGCAAGCAAGCGTCAGTTACTCAGGAATGGCTTTAGAACCCACCTGGCAATGGAAATGCCTGGCAACAGGCTGTGATTGGTTAGGTCATAAACCACCCCTTGACTGGATTGGCTGCCTTGGCTATATAAGCTGCTGTACCAACTGAAATAAAAGAGTCTGCCGGCTGCTCACTTCTGGCCTACTTTCACCCGATTCCTGACTCCTGGTGTCTGTGTGGTGACTCTGTGCTTCTTGCCCCCACTGTGCTCCTCTCAGAACGAATCCAGAGCAACAGAAGGGATACTGGAAAACTGTGACAGACCAGGTTCTGATGGGATCTAGCATCTGGATCCAAGGAATTGTATAAGGCTTCAGTTTAAGATTTGAATTCAGGTTCTGCAACTTGCTCTATGGAATCAGGCAAGATGTTTAATCTCTGCATCTCTGGTTTCCCATTTGTAAAAAAGACCTAACAATGTTACTCATCTCATCAGATCATCATGTTTATTACGTAAAATATTGAAATGTAAACGTAAAATACACAGTGTAAGTATTTGTTAAATAAGCTTTGTCACTTAATCCACAAAATAATATTACCTTATTTCCTTCTTCTTATAATAATAATTATTATTATCGTTACTATTGCTATCCCCAATGTATACTTAAAATGACTGAGGGTAAGTAAATTATCCAGGATGACAACTTATAAGTAAGAGAGCAAGAATCTTACCCTCCCATTTCTTAACTGAGAAGCTACAGAGTTTTATCATGGGGAGAGATTCAGCAAAGTCTGGACATAATTTTGTCACAGTTGGGACAGTGTTACAGTAGATCACAGTAGATTACAGGTAGATCACAGCAATGATGCTTAACATCTTACAACACACAGCACATCTTCCCATAGCAAAGAATTATCAGGATCAAAATGATAATCATGGGGCTGGCACTGGGGCATGGCAGGTAAGGCCACTGCCTGCAGTGCCGGTATCCCATGTGGGCGCTGGTTTGAGTCCCGGCTGCTGTGCTTTGGATCCAGCTCTCTGCTATGACCTGGAAAAGCAGTGGAAGATGGCCCAAGTCCTTGGGCCTCTGCCCCCATGTGGAAGACGCAGAAGAGGGTTCTGTCTCCTGGTTTCAGATTGGCATAGCTTCGGCCATTGAGGCCATCTGGGGAATGAACTGGCAGATTGAGGACCTATAAAGTGTTTCATCAGTTCTTCATGAACTCTCCCAAGTTGATGACACATGAGGTACTTCTATTTAGAGGGAGGAAAATGAGTCTCAGAAAAAACAGATTATTTGGTATTGGTCATGGAGCTTGAAAGTGTTAAAAACTAGTCATAGATACAGGAATCTTGTATATTTTAGACCACTGATATTTTCATACACTCTATCAGACCTTAATTTCTTGACTCAGAAATTTGGCATATGGCTATGATTAAAGTGACTCAAGTGACTGCTAACAGATGGGAAATTATTGAATTTAATGCCTTGATACTAGTGATCTTTGGAGCCATGGGGTGGGGTTGTGTCCAGAAGGGAACTATAGCAGGCATTCTCAAGCATCTGAGGTGCCAGGTATAAGCCTGGAATCCTCCTTGGTCTTTTTTTCACGCTGATTTTGGTGTTTTTATACTAAAATAAAGGCTGAGGCCAAGGGCAGACATTATTTGAAATATTTTTATTTTCTCTTTCATTAAAGTTGCTAATGGGATTAAATGACACCATGGAGCTCATTTCCTATGAGCTGGAACACGTGTGTAAATGGCGGAGGCGAGAAAGAGAAACTGCTTGCATGGGCCTCTCTATGATACAGCAACTTGATGGATATCAGCCAGGAAAGTCATTCAAGCCTCTGGGAGATAGTTCTAGTTCTGTTGAAGAGCCATCTAAGAATGTGAAGAGGGGACCATGGGTTTGAAGGCTTAGTAGTAAATACAATTGATCTAATTTTTCAGTTTAGCAAGTTCTCAGGATAATACTTAATTGTATTACCTATTCTTTTATATGAAAGAATCCTGAAAGATGAAAAGGGATCTCATTGATAAAGCATGCCCACACCTACATATCCGTACCCATGGAAACAAATAAACAGCCCCATGCCCTGCCTGACAGGAAGAGCCTGTTTGCTGTTTGCTGTCAGTTTTTTTTTTTTTTTTCCTTACCTGATAAGAAGAGAGCTGCGGCAGCCATGGCTGGTAAGTGGTAAGACTTCTTTAAAATCAGGCTAAATCTTTAGAAGATATATTTGAGGGAATGATATTGGCTCGTTGAAATTTGATTTATTTTGTTTTGTTTTTTACTGGATTCTATCATTTGTGTGAGCCACATTTAGCTATAGAAAAAAGGAAGGAGCCTTCCCTGATGTATATTCTCTCAGGATCTGTGTTGAAAGTCACCTGGGAAATGAGCTTTAGGGACCCACAAGCTAGATTTGCTGGCATTTCAAAGGGGAAAGTGAATTCCAAGATGATGTATTACTGTTTTCTGATGTTCTTTTGTGAACTGAATGCTCAGATGTCTAAACATGACTGAGGTTCAGAATACACTTAGTAGAACTGCCATGGACTGTTGCCCCTAAGTGAGAGAAATGAAAATTATATGATAATAATTTACTCTGATTTCTGTGGACAAAGTCCCAAAGTAGTAGAACAGATGGGTCTCTGGACCCTGCTTGTAACTCACCAAAGCAGAACATGAAGAATGGTTTGTTTAAGTATAGTCCTGTTTAGACTTACCTTAATTAGAATATTTGGGGTAGATGTTCATGGCCTTATAAGAATACAATAGCTACACCCTTCCTTGGGATAGCTTACCAATGAAGAAGAAATAAAGAAAATAGAGAGCCCCAGTTATTGAGGTGACAGAGTCACATTTCTTAAGTTACTTATCAGTTTCAATATTGTGCTTCCAACAGATAAGAGACTAAAGGAAAAAAGGAAATTATTTGTTGATTCAGTGTCTGAGGACACACTTCACAGCTTGCTGGATGATGTGCTACATGAAAAAGTGCTGAACCAAGAGGAGATTGAAAAGGTGAAAAAGGGAAATATTGCAGTGACAGGCAAGGCCCGTGACTTAATTGACTCAGTGATCCCCAAAGGGTCCCGTGCCTGTCAAGTATTTATTGATCATATCTGCCAGAGGGATTCCACCCTTGCTTACAAGCTGGGGTTTTCTTCAGGTAAGACTCTGAATTTTTAAAAAATAATAATCAACTAATAATTAATTAATTCATTTCACAAATAAAATTGTAGAAATCTGTGGAATATAATGTAATATTCAGACAAATGAATTCATTGTAGAATGAGTAAATCAAGCTAAGTAACATAACCATCACTGCACATACTTCTATTTTCTGGTTAGAATTGTTAAAATCTATTGTCTAAATACTTTCAAGTGTATAATATACCATTATTAATTGTAATCATCTCCTCAGTTTTATTTAATGAGTATATCCACTTGTCCTTACATCTTGCTAGGCAGTATCTGCTTTCTTATTTGTTTGCCACATAACAGATGAGTTAGCACCTCTTTTGCTTGATATCTAATCATCCTCAGGCACCCAGTCACACTGACCTGCTCTTCCATTTCTCATTTGCTTTGTTCATATGTTCCTATACAATTTTACCAGGTCCCTATTTCATGTGTTGACTGTTGTATCTTACCCTTCATTTTTATAGAGCATTTCTGCTTGATGATAGTAATACAGTCATATGGAAATAATTTAGAAGACTATCCTACTTTCTTCTGGAAAAAAAAGAGACAAAGATGTTTACATTGGTTTTGATAGTAGGACCTTGTGGTTCATGGAGTTCTTGAGGACAAGTTAGAAACATTTTCCTTTCCCCACCTTTCTACTCCTTTGCTTTGCACACATTTTTTGATCCACCTCTACATTGATGTGTCCACCTCAAAAATATATGACTCTAAGTTTTTCAGCAATGACAGAATCAATCCATCATCTCTTCTGCATAAGTAAAGTGTAACGTGTCATTTTTATCCTTCCTTGATTATATATAGAAACCTTAAGAACGTTTCTCAAAGTGTCCTTGTACCAAATCCAAAAGCTTTACTTCATGAATGGTACTGAATAGCAATGCAAGGTAAGAGAATCCAAATGATAGTACTTAATAAAATGTCATTCCAGACAGTGAAACACTTTGCACTCCCATTACCTTCTGACTGTCCTAAGGTCAAAGCCTACCATTCTTAACATGGCACATCTCTCCAGTCTCAGCTTCCATCTCACTTTGCAAACCACTTCTTGCTCTAGTCACTTGGGTGGCACTTCTAACAGAATGCAATTATTCATTTTAAGGGCCTTGTACCAGCTTGCCAGACATCCTTCAGCTTAACTTGTTAGATGCAGACTTCATTTAAGAAGCATTTTCACCTAAATTGTTGGAACTTGGTAGATCATTTGTCTATTCATTTTTTCATTCATTTTTCAATGAAAACTTTATAGTCAGTCATTCCTTTTAGGTTTATAAATATTTAACATTAAACAAAATATGGATTTGAGATTCTACTAGGGAATGGATGACAATTAGAAGTAAAAAAAATATAAAAAAATTGCAGAGAATGGTGAGAGTTACTAAGAAAAACCAAGAAAAATATGTGTTGGGATAGGGTAGAAAACAGTAAGTTGAGATCATGCCAACAATTTGAATATCAAAATTCATTGTTTCATGTATATGGGGAGAAAGCACCTAAAAAGAGAGGCCAATACATGCAAAGATCAAATGAAGCAACTGGCATGGATATCTGGGAAATACATAGAAAAATAACAAATGTTGCTAAATGTGGGGAGCAACCCGGACTGGACTAAGTTACTGGAATTAAGACTTATTCTATGCATCTGCTCTCCCACAATATGGCGCTGAGAAGGGAAACAGCTTCTACACAGCTGCCTCCAGTTCAACCAATAAACAGCAGGACCTGCTCCTGATTGGAGGAGAGCAGCGTACTCGGCGTGTGGATAGCAGAGTTGGGATTGGCGGAAGAGGACTATAAAGGAGGAGAGAGACAACATGCACCAGGAACATCTAAGGGGAACATCTAAGAGGAACACCTGAGCAGCTCCCGAGAGAGCCGGCCGGCGGTGTGCCGCTCCCCCGCGGAAGTGGGGAATGTGGCAGGGGGAACCACCCTTCCACGGAGGTGGAAGGGACAGTAGCCAACCCGGGAAGAACCAGCAGCAAACCCGGGGAGGGCCGAGCAGACAAAAGAACAACGCAGGGTCCTGTGTCGTTCCTCCACGAAGACGGGGAGCGACAGCTAAACAAGAATGTGAAGAAGTCAAAGTTCAGATAGGAACTTTTTTCATATAGATGTCATAGAAAGCCCACATGAATATCATCTTAAGCATGATGATGGGTCATTGCCAAATTCTATTCAGTGCCAGTGCCAGTGGAATTGATCAGAAAGCAAAGTTACAGAAACCCTTAACATTCCAAGTGCCTTCTCACAGAAGGAATTGTATGTTTGTCTGAAATATACCCACAATTGTGATCTGAATTTTATTCCTAAGAATATTTAAACTGATTTTTTGAAGCTTTTTGCTTTCAAGGATACTACGCTAAAAACAAAAATGTACGAAATGAGTTTCAGAAGTGAAGAAAGAGGAAGTCTGATTTATCTTTTTTTTTTTAAAGAATTATTTATTTAAAGATAGAGTTACAGAAAGAGAGAGAGACAGAGACAGAGACAGAGACAGAGACAGAGTGAGAGAGCAAATCTTCCATCTGCTGATTCACTACCTACATGGCTATAAAAACCAGGGCTGGGCCAGGCTGAAGCGAGCAGCAAAGAGCTTTATTTCGGTCTCCCATGTGGATACCGAAGCATAAGGACGCGGGTCATCTTTTGCTGCTTTTCCAGGCACGTTAGCAGGGAACTGGATCAGAAGTGGAGCAGCCAGGACAGGAATTGGCTCCTATGTGGGATGCCAGTGTCAAGAGCAGCAGTTTAACCAACAATGCTTCATGCCAGCCCCTAATTTACCTTTATAGACAGCCATTTGGGTCACTGTTTAGACAATGGAATACAGCAGGTTTTAAACAAAAGTAGAGATAAGACTTTGAGGCTACTTTACTGATTCTTATTGGAGATTATGGTTGCTGGGAGTGGGAAGGGTGGGGAGTAATATCTGACCTGAGAATGTATGTTACAGGTAGAATTAATATGATGTGCTGATGGAAAGGATCTGGGGTTCTAATCAAGGAAAGTTTTAGATTTGGGTTCAGGCAAGTCAATGAAGAGTTGCATCCTTCATTAGGAAGCTGAAACATAAGAGAATTGATCAAGCATGCTGAGGACAGCAAGGGTTTGGATGAAATTCAAAAGGACACATATTATGAAAAGATGTTGATTATATGAGTTTGGACATAAGAAGAGCTGACGACATACAGCTGGCACCTATCTCCTTAGCAACATGGGAATAGATGAGATCACTATGTGATAAATGATAAATAGAAGCCTTAAACCTCGCTTCAGGATAATTTCTGGTATCCCAGGAATCAAAGACAACAGTAAATTCTAGATTAGAATAACTCCCCTCGATCTGTAAGCATGATGGCAAATGGGGAAGCATTACTATTTTGTGATTTAATGTGTCCTATCCATGGGTATAAAATAACTAACTCTGACTGCATTGTGTTCTGAATCTGCCTTATATTCATAGCGGTTGGAAAATGATAATAATTTTCAATAATTATATAAAGTTTAATATGTATAGGAATGACTCCAAGTACTCCCATCATATTAAATCCCTGAGTACCCAAAAAATCTAATGAGAGAGGGGCTGTATTTACCCTAGTTTTCATTAGAGGAAGCTGAAAAATAGAGACATCAAGTAATCTAGTCTCCATGTCAGATAGGGTGTAGATTTGGGGGATTCAAGTCTGCTCCCAAAGTCCATCTTTTTATTTATTTATTTTATTTGAGAGAGAGAGAGAGAGAGAGAGAGAGATATCTTCCCTCCACTGTTTCATTCAAATGGCCACAGTTGGACAAAGCCAGAAGCCAGGAGCTTCATCTGGGTCTCCCATGTGGGTGCAGGGGCCCAAGCCATCTTTTGCTGCTTTCCCAGGTACATCAGCAAGGAGCTGGATTTGAAGTGGAGTAGCTGGTACCCAAATGGGATGCTGGCATTGCAGGCAGTGGCTTAACTCATTATGCCACGATGCAGGCCCCCCGATGTCCATCCTTAGGACTATTAAGCTGTAGTAACTCTTGTACAAGAAAACCTGCCTAACCTGTGATGTTAAAATTAGAAGTCTATGAGAGTACTGCTACTTGTGACCTTGTATCATGTACATTGTTAATTCTGATTATTCCTGATTATTATTCTGAATAATTACTCTACTCTAAGTTTATAGTAAGTAAAACCAAAACCAAAACCAAAACCTAAAACTGATAAAAACAAACAAAAAACACTCTTCTGTCAAGTTGCTTTTCATTCTTCAAGGCCCATGTGGAGCTTGCTTACCTATTTCCCAAACTGAAAACCAGAGACTTCTCTGGGAGGAATTACTGTAAACATTGTCCAGCTCAAACTTGCCCTCCTGGTGATTTTCAACATGCTTTCTCCAGTTGATGGACTTCTGTTCTGAACTCGGGCTCCTCAGCATGGTCAGCTCCTCAGCTCTTTACCCACAGCAGACCTGGGGCTGTCCTTCATTCTGTCCTAGATAATCCACAGCTTGCCAGGGAGAGGGAAACAACAAACAAAACCTATCCTCCCTTATTCCATTGATGTAAGCAAAATTAACCTTTTACAGTAACTGAGGAGAAACAAGAGAAGTTGGTGGTGCAATGAGTTGAGCTGAGCTTGTGACATTGACATCCCATATCATGGCCCCAGTCCAAGTCTCAGCTGCTTCTATTCTGATCCCACTGTTAATGCTTCTGGGAAAGCAGCAGATGATGGCTCAAGTGTTTGGGGCCCTACCACCCATGTGGGAGACACAGATAGAATTCAGAGATCCTGCTTTGGCATATACTGGTCCCAGCCACTACAGTCATTTAAAGTTGAACCAGTGAACCAGTGAACAGATGAATGGAAAACTCTCTCTCTCTCTCTCTCTCTCTCTCTCTCTCTCTCTCTCTCCTTCTGCCCTTACTCTGTTGCTATTCCCTTAAAATAAGTAAATAACTCAAAAGGCTTCCATAGCCTTGGCAACTCATGACTAGAGCCTAGGGTGATTACTGATGCCTAAACAAGAGTGTCAATTTGTTAAATCAACAACAGGAGTCACTGTGCACTTACTCCTCATGTAGGATCTCTGTCCTTAATGTGCTGTACATTGTGATTTAATGCTATAACTAGTACTCAAACAGTATTTTTCACTTTGTGTTTCTATGTGGCTGCAAACTGTTGAAATCTTTACTTAATATATGCTAAACTGATCTTCTGTATATAAAGAGAAATGAAAATGAATCTTGATGTGAATGGAAGGGGGGAGGGAGAGGGAAAGGGGAGGGTTGCGGGTAGGAGGGAAGTTATGGGGGGAGCATTGTATCATATTCTGTACTTTGGAAATTTATATTCATTAAATAAAAGTTAAAAAAATAAGTAAATAACAAAAAAAGTAAATTGCCTTTACAGTTTTCCAAAAGGTAACATTTTTTTTAAATGGAGAAATAGAGTACAACAATTGTACTAAAAATTGAAAGAGGTAAGAGGGAGCTATATATTCAAAACATGAGTTTATTCTCAATAGTTCTTAAGGATAGCCTGACAATCCTTATGAATCAGAGATCAGATTTAATGGAGATTCTTACTGAACTCTGAGAATGGAGGCAGATTAACAGAGTCCAATTGGACCTTTTTTCCTTCTAGTATTTACCACCAAATCACATGCATTTATTTCTCCATGTTGAGTAGGTGTCTTAATCTGATGATTGTCTTCACAAAGGAGCTTCCTCTCTTGTCTCACCACAGTTCATTTATGTTAATCTAACGTCACACAAAACTGTAACTCTTACCAGCTAAGATAGATTTTTACAGAGGTTACTTCTGTCCTCCAAGAGAGTGAGTACTCTTCTCTATGTTTACTGGGGTTATTTAGAGCATGGGACCCAACAAGAAAACTAGATATGAGATAACACAACTCTCACTATGCTGTTTTGCAGAAACCCTTGCCAAAACCCATGCTAGAACAGATGTGCCATCTGCAGAACCTCCAGGCACACTCAAGCTTTGTCCTCGTGAAAACTTCTTGAAACTTCGCAGAACAGCAGCTGGAAAGGTGAGATGGTCAATGAATAGGATGGATGATAAAGTGAAGTGGTAAGATTCCATAAACTGGAACTAGCATTGTGACAAAGCAGGTTAAGCTGTCCTTTGGGACACTGGCCTCACATACTGAAGGCAGATTTCAGTCCAAGCTGCTCTGCCTCTGTTGTAGTTCCCTGCTAATGCACCTGAGGAAGCAGTGGAAGATGGCCCAAGTTCTTGGGCCCTTGTCACCCATGTAGGGGACCCAGATAGAGTTCCAGGCTCCTAGCTTTGGTCTAGGCAAGCCCTTGCTATTGCAGCCATTTGGGTAGTGAACCAGAGAAAGTAAAATATCTTTCTCTTTCTCTCTGTTTCTTCTACTCTTTGTTACTCTGATAATCAAAATAAATAAATAAATCTTTAAAGAAAAGATTCCATAGATACAAAATACACAGAGGACCTGAGAATGATATCTTTTTAAGCTATATCTTCAGTCATTATGAAGGTTAAAAATTATGAGTATTTTCATTCTACTAGGATCCTGGCTGGTAGGTAATTTCATTTTATAAAAAGGAAAATTAGAAATGTGATAATGAAATAGTTAATTATGTTCTGATTCATTATATACTGATGCATCTCTCTCTCTCTATGTGTGTATATATATATATGATATTATAAAATAATACTTTCATGGTGGGGGAAGATAAAGACTTGGTCATGATTAATGCAGACAAAAGTCCATGGGAAATATTTTTAGTGTTTATGGAATTTGATATTGGCCTTGAACATTAAGTAAGGTTTGAATAAATGGAAGGGAGAGTAGAGAGGTAGTACTCTAGCCTACCCTACAAGGTCATTTAATAAATAGCCCATATCATTTGTAATTCATCACTGTGATGTTTTGTTCTTTTAGTCATGATCTGTGTAACAGTCTATTTCTCACTTGTTAATTGAGGGGATAACTAACTACGCTGTGTACAGTGAGATGAAATACAATGCATTTCTTCTTGCCATTTGATGCATTTAACTTGTCATCATTCTGTAGATCTATCCAATACGAGAGAAAGGGGACCGCACTCGTATGGCCCTCATCATCTGTAACACAGAGTTTGACCATCTTCCAAGGCGCAATGGATCCACTCATGACATCAAAGGGATGAAAGGTGTGCTTGAGGCCCTAGACTATAGAGTGGATGTGAAAGAGAATCTCACAGCCAAGGTAAGTGCCTTCCCCATGCAGTACATGCCCACACACCTCTAATAAAGAACTGGTTTTGTAATCTTGGGGGCATTCACTTAACTTTTTTGGGACTTAGTTTATTCAACTTTGACATGAAGAAATCTAAAACTGTTATCTATGATTGCCTGTATCTCTTTTGACTGGTATATATAAACACACTTATAGTATATGTTTATCTAGTTATACACACATGCACACATATATATGTATGTAAGTTTAAGCCCAATTTAGTCATTTCTACAACATTTTACCACATTGGTATTACTTTACTTAGGCAATACTCACACATACACACTTTATGACAGCATGTACAGAGAGTTGTAGAAGGGGTTAACCCAGGAGTCACTATAGTTATGGAAGACATAGTTACAGACAAAATTGTGGCAACATAGAAGGGTGTGAGTGCATGAAGTGGTAGAATAAGTTCTCCCTCACCCATAGTTTCATGTCTGCAATGTCTATTATCTGAGGTCAACCTTGGTAGCTCTGGTTAAAAATATTAATGGAAAACTCCAGAAATAAATAATTTGTTTTAAATAGCATAAACCATAGGATATTGGCACATCAATATAACAACTGTATTTTATTATTAGTTATCATTGTTAATCTCTCCCAATACTCAATGCATAAATTAAACTTTATCATAGGTACAATAAGAGAACTTCAAAAAGCTCATGGGAAATTAAACTACAATGTAAATTTATCTTAGTGTAAAAACTTGAAATTCATGTGTACCTTTTTGATAATATGAATTTCATGAACTATTTGATGTCTCCTCATATACATGGCTTTCAAAAATGGTGTACCCAAGAAAGTTTTTATTTTAATTACCTTTTTCAGAATTTTATGATATACCCTTGTGTTTGTTGGAAAAACAGTCTACATATACTATTTGATATTTTAGGGTTTTGAACATCCACTGGGGGTCTTCAAGCATAATCCCCAGAGGTAGTGGAGAATTACTGTAACATGACACTTCTCTTCAAAACTTCAAGCATCGAGTAATTCAAATAATTCAGTTGTAAGTACAGATAAATAGGGAAAGTGAAAGAACAGAGAGGCTAGAAACAAGGCACTTCATGACTACATGTATGAACAATTGATTTTAACAATAGTGTCAAGACTGTTCAATAAAGAAAGGCAATATTTTCCTTTACAACAATTGGTTATGGAGAAACTGGATATTATCTTGCAAAAGAATGGTGTTGAAACTTATCTACTTTTTTCCCTATAGAATATTAATATGTCAAAATGAATAAAATACCTAAACTTAAGAGATAAAACTATAAAACTCATAGGAGAGGGGCTGGCCCTGTTGCTTAGCAGGCTAAAGCTCCAGCCTACAGTGCTGGTGTGCTATATGGGCGCTGGGACAAGTCCTGGCTGCTTCACTTCTGATCCAGCTCTCTGCTATGTCCTGGGAGAGCAGTAGAATATAGCCAAGTCCTTGGGTCCTTGCACCCACGTGGCAGACCTCAAAGAAGCTCCTGGCTCCTGGCTTTGGACTGGTTCAGCTCTGGCCATTGTGGCCATTTGGGAAGTGAACCAGCTGATGGAAGACCTCTTTCTCTCTCTCTCTGTCTACCTTTCTATGTAACTCTGCCTTTCAAATAAATAAAATAAATCTTTAAAATAAAAAAAAAACTCTTGAGAGAAAATATTGAAGGAAAACTATGTGACATTGAAATTGGAAAGAACTTCATAAGCATGTCCCCACATATACAGTAAATAAAATAAAAAAATTGATAATAAATAGGAACTCAAAAAATTAAGAACAGTGGCACCCTAGAGAATATAAATACAAAAGTGAAAACAAAACCTACAGAGTGGGAGAAAATGATTGCATATGTTATATCTGATAAGGAACAAGTATCCAGAATTAATGAAGGATTCCTAAAACTCAAAAAAAAAAAGCAACAATAAAAATCCAAACAACTAAGTTCAAAAATACACAAATAAATTCAACAAACATTTCTTCAAACAAGATAGAAAAATGGCCAAAAACACATGAAAAGTTTCTCAACATCATTACTCATTTGGGAAATGGATATTAAAACTGCACTGAGAGGGGCCGACACCATGGCTCACTAGGTTAATCTTCCGCCTGCGGCGCCTGCATCCCATATGGGCACCGGTTCTAGTCCAGGTTGCTCCTCTTCCAGTCCAGCTCTCTGCTGTGGCCCAGGAGGGCAGTGGAGGATGGCCCAAGTGCTTGGGCCCTGCACCTGCATGGGAGACCGGGAGGAAGCACCTGGCTCCTGGCTTCGGATCAGCGCAGTTCCGGCCTTTAGGGCCACTTGGGAAGCAAACCAATGGAAGGAAGACCTTTCTGTCTGTCTGTCTGTCTGTCTCTCTCTCTCTCTCTCTCTGTCTGTAACTCTGCCTGTCAAATAAATAAATAAAATCTTAAAAAAAAACTTCACTGAGAAACCACTTCACACCTTCTAAAATGGCAATAATAAGAACAAGGAAAAGGAAGGACATGGCGAGGAAGGCAGGAGAGAGAAGACAAACAAGAAGTCTGTGCCGGCTAGATGTGCAGAAATCTAAACCTTTATAAATGGCTGTTAGGAATGTATAGTGATGTGGTAACTATGGCAACTTTGACAAAGTTAGTGGTTTCTTTTTATTGATGTATTTGCTTATTTGAAAGTCAGAAATACATAGTAGGGGAGAGACAGAGAATGATCTTCCATCCACTGGTTCACTCCCCAAATGGTTGCAATGGGTAGGGCTGTGCCAGGCTGAAGTCAGGAGTCAGGAGTTTCATCTGAGACTCCCACATGGGTGCAGAGGTGCAAGCACTTGGGCTTTCCTCCATTGCTTTCCCAGGTACATTAGCAAGGAGCTGGACTGGAAGTGGAGCAGCCTGGACTTGAATTTGGATCCATATAGGATGCCAAAACTGCAGACTTACCCCACTGCGCCACAGCACCAGCCCCAGTCTGGTGGTTTCTTAAAGGGCTACAGTATTAAATGAGCTAACTACACTCCTAAATATATTTATATAAAAAGAATCAAAAGCAGAGACTCAAGCATATATTATTGTGCCAGTGTTCACTGCAGGATTTTCCTAAAAGCTAAATGTGGTAATATCAACTACCTATCAACTCAGTCAGTGTGTAGATAGAATGGATACTGATCCACATGTAAAAATGAATGAAATCTTGATATTTGCTATAACATAGATAGGCTCCCAAACTTTGTCCTTAGTGAAATAATCCAGAAACATCAGGACAAATATTGTATGATTCCACTTTTAAAACATGCTTAGAATAGGAAAATTCATAGATCAAGATAAAATATTTACCAATGAATTAGAAGCTAAAGTTTAATGGCCACACGTTTTTTTTTTGTTGTTGTTGTTGGAGATGATGTAAAAGTTGTAGGTATTGACAGTGATGATAGTTGCCTATCCCCATTTAGATGTTTTTAATCCTACTGAATTATTCATTTACAAATAGTTAAAATGATATATATTATGTACATTAATTTTGCCAACACCAAAAAATGAATGATGAACAAATAAGGAAAATTTGAAGAAGAGTTTTGATATGTCTTCCTGAGTTACTGTGCTACCTACAATATTAACAGCAATAACAAAATAAATGACAAAATTTTCATTTCTGACTACCTACTATAGATTAGCCACTGTGATATGGCAGGCACTTTACACTGATTCTTTCCATTTCTCTAAGCATCACTAGTAAAGGGGCCAGAGTTGTGGCACAGTGGGTAAAACCACTAGCTGTAGCATCAGCATCCCCTATGGGTGCCGGTTCATGTCCCAGCTGCTCCACTCCCAATCCAGTTCCCTGCTAATGGCCTGGGAAAAGCCATGAAAGATGGCCCAGTACCTGGGATCCTGCATCTACAGGGGAGACCTGGAAGAACCTTCTGGCACCTCGCTTTGGACTGGCCCAACCCTGGCTGTTGTGACCACCTAGGCAGTGAAAAAGAGGATGGAAGATCTCTGTGTGTCTCTCACTCTCTCTGTACCTCTGACCTCCAAATAAATAAATCTTTTTTAAAAAGGCATCATTGATTTTTTTTTTTTATTTTTTGACAGGCAGAGTGGACAGTGAGAGAGAGAGAGAGACAGAGAGAAAGGTCTTCCTTTGCCGTTGGTTCACCCTCCAATGGCTACCGCGGCCGCACCACACTGATCCGATGGCAGGAGCCAGGTACTTATCCTGGTCTCCCATGAGGTGCAGGGCCCAAGGACTTGGGCCATCCTCCACTGCACTCCCTGGCAACAACAGAGAGCTTGTCTGGAAGAGGGGCAACCCGGACAGAATCCGGTGCCCCGACTGGGACTAGAACCTGGTGTGCCGGCGCTGCAAGGTGGAGGATTAGCCTAGTGAGCTGCGGCGCTGGCCAAGGCATCATTGATTTAAAGAGCAGATATGATGATGTGATGTTTAAAAATTTGTTTCCTTTCAGGCCACAGAGAAAGTATTAAGAACATTTGCTTCCTGGCCAGAGCACCGAAACTCAGACAGCACATTCTTGGTGTTCATGTCCCACGGCGTCTTAGATGGTTTCTGCGGAGTTGAACATCAGGATGAAAAACCAGATGTGTTGCCTTATGACACTGTATTCCAGATTTTTAATAACTGCAACTGTTCTCATTTGAAGGACAAACCCAAAGTCATCATCATCCAGGCCTGCAGAGGTGGTGAGTTCTGATGTGTCCAGAGATCAGAATGATGTGTATCCTGTAGGATAAGGCTTGCACTGTATGTTTTATATCTAGTATTATGTGCACCAAGCCTCACTTTAGTGTAATTATACCAGACTGAAGACAGCTTTTAGGAGTAAAAGAAACTGGCATAAAACTTAAATGTAAAAAAATGCCATTCACTAGTGAACCTTAGCAAGTGGCAATGATGTTAATCTTATTTCTAAATTATCTTTGCATTGAATTATTAAAATGCTAACCTGAAAAGATTGTAGTTTCTGGGTGTGTGTCATACAGCAGCAGGTGAAACTGCAACTTGGGAAGCCTGTATTTCACATCAGAGTGCTTGTTCAAGTTATGGCTACTTTGCTTCTGATCCTGTCTCCTGTTAATGCATGCAAGGAGTCATCAGATGATGGATCATTTGCCTGTGCTCCCACCACTCAAGAGGGAGACCTGGATGGAATTCCAGGCTTCTGGCTTCAGCTTGGCCTAGCCCTGGTGATTGCAGGGATTTGTGGAGTGAAACGACAGATGGGCGATCTCTCTCTATTTCTCTCTCTCTCTCTGCCTACCTTTCATATAGATGAAAATAAATGAGTAAACATTTAAGAAGGTCTTTAATTTCAGCATTTATTAGTCAAAATTTCATGATCTCTGATTAGAAAAGTATATCGCATGGTAGTGAATAAATTAAATTTAAATATAATGCAAAGAAATTAAAATAAATCAGGCCCAAAAGACTACATACATGAAGGCCAGTGTGGTATAGTGGGTTAAGCCACTGCCTAAAAACACCATCACCCACTAAGGGTGCCAGTTTAAGTTCTGGCTGCTCCTCTTCTTATCTAGCTCCCTGCTAATGTGCCTGGGAATACAGCAGACAATGGCCCATGTGCTTGGGCCCCTGCACCCATGTGGGAGACACAGAGTTCCTGGCTCCTGGCTCCTGGCTTTGGCTTAGTTCAGTCCCAGCTCTTGTGGCCATTTGAGGAGTGAAGAGTAGATGGGAGACCTCTCTCTCTCCTTCTTTCTTTCTCTGTAACTCTGCCTTTCAAATAGATTAAAATAATTTTTTTAAAATTCTATATGCATAATTCCATTTATATGGCATTTGGAAAATGACAAAGTGTAGAGACAAAGATTAAATTATGTCAGAGGCTGAGGACAAATCATTCTTTATCTTGATTGGAGTGGTAGTTACATGATTGCATATATTTGTCAAAATGGATTAAATTATGTATCTAAAGAAGGTAAATTTTACTAAATGTAAATTATACCCTAATACAGCAAAACCAAATTATTGTGACACTGCTTTTTTCCTATAGATTTTTAATGCAAAATTTAATGTAATTATCAATCAAAGAATGGCTTAGAAGGAAGAAGTAGCTGTGAGAAAGGAAAGGAAATGAAGAGTGGTTTAAAAATTTTTGGGTCCATTCTTGAATAGAGTAAATCTTTCTTTCCTTGGCTTTGTATTGTTGCTTTTCTATCATTAAACCAGAAACTGCTCCCTTCACTAAGGAACTGTCAAAAGTAGTCTTTAGCAATATTACTCCCTGATTAATAAAAATCTTTCAGGTCCAGAAGGTGGCTGCAGTTGACATTTTGATGGATGTGAGTGGTAATAAGGTTGTGTTAGCCTATACTGTATGTATGTGCACTGTGTGTATGCATGCAAAATTAACTGGAAAAACTCCATAAAGAGTATCTTATTTGTTTAAATGTTAAGGGATTACTAAAATGAGAGTATCAGTGAATAAGTTAACAATGAAATTTTCTCTGTAGCAAACAGTGGAGAGGCGTGGGTCAGTGACTCTCAAGCAGGCTCAGTAAAAAGCCCTTCACAGTCTCCATTGAACCTGACTCATGACGGTGTCAACAAGACCCATGTGGAGAAGGACTTTGTTGCCTTTTACTCTTCAACACCACGTATGTGTCTTTCATTGGTGGGTAAGGGTTTGTGGAGATGAATCCTGCCTACATGCTTTGGCCCATAGTTGCAGGCAAGGACACAGACTAAAAGTCTTGTAAGGGACTTTTACAGTTCCATTCAAGTTTCTGGAACCTTCTTTTAGAGCTCCATTGTGGTGATCCAGCAATCTCCTGTGTCTACATTCATAATATTCATATTCATAGTAAGTGATGGGTCAGTAGGTACTGACTATTACTATTCTACAACACACTTTTTTTTTTTTTTTAGTGTTGAGGAAAATTTTTAAAGAGAAAGAAAATGTGATCTCCTCTTCAAAAACTGTGTTTTCTTATTTGGAAAACAAGAAACCTAGGTGTGTAACTTCATTAAAAATTCGCCAAGTAATGGGTAGTGCCTGGTAAAGTAAAATTGAAACCTAGGTGCATTAAATAGTTTTAAAGGACCAATTTCATATAACTTCACATATAAGGTGATATAATTTTTAAAAGGAGATAGATAGTAGAGAAATGAGAATTCCCAGCATGGTGAAAAGCCTGAGAAAAACAAACAAAAATATTTAAACTGTTTAAGCAAAAATGTTCTTACTTAATATACACTACTGTTTAGTTACTTTTATCTGTAAATTTACACATTTATACTTATCTATACAGATGAGTACATTTTTATACATTAATTATTACCAGACTGCCAGGTAAAGGCAAAGGAGTTGAGGCTTGCAAAAAAAATAAATAAGTTGCATGGATGAATGCTGGCAGCATTTGCTAGATATGAATCCAAGTTAGTTTGATTCTGTAGTCTCAGTAAAACAATAAAAACAATCACAGTCTCTATGATTTTTTTTGGAAGCAAGAAGGTTTTAGTTCAAGATGTATAATATTTTTTATTCACAGATAATGTTTCCTGGAGAAGTCCAAAGGGTTCTTTCTTCATCACAAAACTGATAGACTATGTCCAAACTTATGCTTGGGATTGTCACCTGACAGAAATATTTATGAAGGTAAGATCACATTATCTGTTCCATAAATTTGTTTAATCATACACTCTAAAACAAATGTCTGTGATAACCAACCTATGTATTTTATAAAACTGATAGGAGACCTTATACACCTTGGCATACCTGGCTTTTTAATTGTTTCCAAAGTACTAAGCTCAAATAGTCAAAGAAAGTTAATACATGCTTATCCTCTGCATCAAAATATTAAAAATTTTAGTAAGGGAAACAAAGATAGAGGAGGAAAATACATTCTATGAAGATCATTTGTGATGTAGGCTAATGTTTACCTGCTAAAATAATGGGAAAACCTCAGTATAAAACTTTTTGATAATTTTTACACAATTCCAGCATAAACAATAATTGATATGACTCACAGCATGTGAATAACAGTAAATGCATCTTTCCCAACTAAAAAAAATAATGAAATGGAGTGGGGAAGAGTAAGGACTCTTGGGGTACTATTAATGTTTTGTTCTTAATTTGGGTATAGCGGCCGGCGCCGCGGCTCACTAGGCTAATCCTCCGCCTTGCAGCGCCGGTACACCGGGTTCTAGTCCCGGTCAGGGCACCGGATTCTGTCCCGGTTGCCCCTCTTCCAGGCCAGCTCTCTGCTGTGGCCAGGGAGTGCAGTGGAGGATGGCCCAAGTGCTTGGGCCCTGCACCCCATGGGAGACCAGGAGAAGCACCTGGCTCCTGCCATCGGATCAGCGCAGTGCGCCGGCCGCAGCGCACCAGCCGCGGCGGCCATTGGAGGGTGAACCAACAGCAAAGGAAGACCTTTCTCTCTGTCTCTCTCTCTCTCTCACTGTCCACTCTGCCTGTCAAAATAAAACAAATAAAAAATAAATAAATAATTTGGGTATAGCTTATAAGTGTTATCAAAAGACAAAAAACTTATACATCTGTACACTTCTGTGTATTTCCTGTTATGTAAATTGAATTTCAATAAATGCTTTCAAAATTAAATAAAAAATAATAATTAGAACTTCCTGTTTCAGATCATGAATTAGAAATAGACACAACTTTTGCTTTCAAAGATTATAGTCTAGTAATAATAATAGTAAAGGCACAGGAATCAAAGATATGTCCTTTTTAATTTCTAGAGAAAAGTATAACAAGTTTCTTTGAAGGGAAAAGATGGCAGTTCTGCAAGATGTGATTATCTATACAGTGGAAGCTTGATGGAACCAGGCAATTTTTGTTTATTTCTGCCTGGTTTAAAAAAAGTATCTATTGACATATAGGATAAAATCTAATGTTCACAAATCCTGAAATAAAAATTTATAGGTAAAATATGGGTATCAAATTCTTCTGCTTCTAGTCAACAAGATTTCACAGAGGGTGGATTTACACCTCTGTTTAAAACAAACACACAAACAAAAAATAAATAAAATACTTGAAGTTAGGGACAACAAGCAAGGAAGAACTCTGATCCCTGAGAGATGGTATGTAAATAATGTCAAGCGATTATGTTAGAAGAATTTCCAGGGATGCAGAAGCAAGACAGGAGCTGGCAGACTCAAGGGTAGAGGGACATAGCTGAGACTCCAGGGAGAAGAAAGTGGCAAGAGTTCACATCTGTCTTACCAAAGAGGAGGCAACTTTAGGAATTTCTAGGAAATCTTCACCAAGTATTTGCTGCATGTAAGAAAACTACCTGAGTCACAGGAAAGAAGTGCCCTGAGATTACAGCAAACAATATCATGGCATTCATGTAGAGCTGGAAGTGTTCCTAACCCCACCAGAAATAGTACAGGAAACATCTCAAAATTTGCCTGCAGAACACTCACAGAATCTGGGCAAAGTTAAATGGAAGAAGAGCTCCTGGCTAAACCATCTCTGATGTTTCCTAACAAACCACAAAGTGATCAAACTGTTCCCAATAGCAAAATGCACACAATTGAAAAGCATAGACTTTTATGTATATACATATATATATATACACACACACACACATATATATAAAATACCTATATATAAATTTATATACACATATATGTATATATATATACAAAACACCTAAATTATTATATATACATACACACATACACACACAGACAACAACATACCTTGAAACATTTGTGGGAAACTGGAATTAAAAAATAAATTTATTTTGCTGAAAAAATGTGAGATCCATTCATATTTTGAATATTATTAATACAGAAAACAGATTTCATGTACTTCAGATACAATTTCAATAAGATACCTATACGTCCCTCCCTCTCTCGGTCCCCTCCTTCCTTCCTTTTATTTCCTTTTTGAATTTTCCATGAACCTTCTGACAATTCCTTGCATATGTATATGTGTTGTGTGTGCATGAATACAGAAATGTTCAGCATTTAAAATATAAAAATATAGAAAATATTAAGCATGCACAAAACAGGAAAATAAAAGCCATTTTAGCAGAATAACTACTGAATAAAAACTGATCCATAACAAACACAGATGGTAGGATATCATAAAAGGACAACAAGCAGTTATTGTAATTGTTTTCCTCAATTCAGATAGTTAAGAAGAGTCATGGAAAATCTAAAATACCTAAATTAAATCATCATGTATGAAAACTGTAATGTATTAGATGAAAACTACATTGAGTGGGCTGGCTTAATAACAGTTTAGATATTAAAGAAGAGAAAGCAGTAAACTTGAAGAAACTGCAAAATGAAGCAGAGAACAAAAAAAAAATAAAAGAAAAAAAGAACAAATTATCAGTTAGTGGTGGACAAATATAAGAGGCCTAAGACATAGATAAATGGTGTTTTGAAATGGAGGAACAAGATAATATTTGAAGAATGGTCAATATATTCTGAAATGTAATAAAAGTTACAAACTCACAGATTCCAGGAGGGCAACAAACATGAAGCATGGAAATAATGGAAAAATAATCCAGCAAGGTTCATCTTTCTTATCCTAATTTCTTTAAGCCATTAATAAGACAAAAAATTTAAAAAGTAAAAAGAAATGAGGCATGTACAGAAAATGAGGTTATATACAGAAAAGCAATGGAAAAAATATCAGAAGATTATCAGTAACAATGTATTTTTGAGAGCAGTATTATCAATAAGCCCTAAAATTCTAAGTCCAGAAAAATAGAAAAATGTGTTACAAAAACAAGAATGAAATTTAAAAAAAAATTTCCAGCCATGCAAAAACTGAAATATTCCATTACTAGTAGTTTTTCACTCTGAGAAATGTTAAAGGGAGTCAATCAGGCAGAAAGAGAAGTATAACAAATGAAAATACAGATCCCCAGAAAAAGGAGTTAAAGTACTGGCAATATAACTACATGGATGAATGGACACTCACACACACACACACCCACACACACTCATGTGTGCACATGGGGACTTCAAAAAGTTTATGGAAAATGTGAATACAAGATAAGTTTGTTCAGTGTGATGGAAACTGGGACATGTACAAAGGACCTGTGACCTCCTGCAATGACCTATATCCTGTCTAATGTGGAAGATGCGAACTGGCTGACCACTTCATGTCTTTCATGTTGGTTTAGATTCCATGGACTTACCAAAAAAAAAAAAAATCACCATTTTCAATAACTTTTTCAACACAGGAGACAGTTGGGCTATGGGATGCCTTTTGCCTAAAAGATTTTTTTAAAGAAAATATTTGGCCGGCGCCATGGCTCACTTGGCTAATCCTCCGCCTGCGGCGCTGGCACCCCAGGTTCTAGTCATGGTTGGGGGGCTGGATTCTGTCCCGGTTGCTCCTCTTCCAGTCCAGCTCTCTGATGTGGCCCGGCAGGGCAGTGGAGGATGGCTCAAGTGCTTGGGCCCTGCACCTGCACGGGAGACCAGGAGGAAGCACCTGGCTCCTGGCTTCAGATCGGCGCAACATGCCGGCCACAGCGCACCGGCTGTAGCGGCCATTTGGGGGGTGAACCAATGAAAGGAAGACATTTCTCTCTGTCTTTCTCTCTCTCACTAACTCTGCCTGTCAAAAAAAAAAAAAAAAGATTTATCAATTTTATTTGAAAAGCAAAATGTCAGGGAGAGATGAGAGAAAGAGATTTTCCTTTGCTGGTTCACTTCCCAAAAGCCTCTAACAGGGGAAGCTGGGCAAAGCCAAAGCCAAGAGCCAGCAACTTCATGGAGGTCTCAGGTGTAGGTGGCAAGAATCCAAATATATGGAAGAATGAGGAAAACAATGCATTTTGGTTGGTTTGAAGATGGGGCCATATAAGAAGGAATAGAAAGTGGCTTCAGAAGAGAGGACAGGAGGCAAGGACCTCTTGAATAAGCTCAGAAACAGATACTGCCTTCAAATCTCCATCAGGGAAAATCCCATGATTTCAGTCTTTGGAGAACATAAACCCAAGAATGCAGGAGCTAGCATTGTGGCATAGCTGGTAATGCTGCCACTAGAAACTCTAGTATTTCATATGGGTACCAGCCCATGTCCTGGCTGCTCCACTTCTGATCCATCTCCCTGCTAATGGCCTGGGAAAAGTAGCAGATGATGGCTAAGTGCTTCTGCTCTTTCCAGTCATGTGGTAAATCTGATGAAGCTCCTGGCTGTTGGCTTTGGCCTGGCTTGGCCCTGCTTTTGTTTTGGCCATTTGGGGAGTAAACCAGTGGATGGAAGATTTTCTTTCTATCCCCCTCTTCCCCTCCTCTCCCCTCTTTCTTTCTCTCCCTCTCCCCCCTCCCTCTCTACATCCCTCTCTCTCCATCTGTAACTGACTTTCAAATGAAATAAATATTACCAAAAAAAAAAAAGCTTGGACTGCAGTCCATTCCACCTGGATTTCTAACCTACATAATTTGAGACATTAAATTAGTAAGCTAAGTTTGTGGTAATTTGTTTTAGCAACAATAGAAAATGAAATCTGTGTCTAAAAAAAATTATGCAATGTTGCATTTTTTGTTTGAGACTCACCAATAGTCTAGACATTTGTAAAAGATTGGCAGATTGTAGATGCATGGTTTTACTTGTAGGGTCTATATTTGGTTCTATTGGTCTATGAATCTGTTTTATGCCAATATTATGCTGCTTTAATTACTGTCATTTTGTAATAAATTTTAAAGTTCAGTAAGTTTTTGTAAGTCTTTTGAGTAACAAAATATGTTAGCAGACTTACAAAGTTGTTAAATAAGTCCTCAAGTTAACTTCTTAAATATCTGCATGTTTTTAATCCTTTACATTTAAGAGTACAATTTAAAACTAATGAAGTATGCAATATTGGCATACAGAAAAAGGCAGTCTTTATGCAATAACTAGAGGTAACACGTCATATTCTTTAAATATATGTTGGAAATTGACATTAATCATAACATACATGCAAACATACACACAAAGGTACTTCAAAATGTTCATGAAACATGAAATTAATATGTATTTATTTTGGTGCAAACATATTTTGAAATGCATGCATAGTTTTTTTTCACAATATGCATTTTCTGCAAACTTCTTGAAGACCCATGATATATTTTTGTTTGCTTGAATCAATTATTCCTCAATGGAATTCTTTTTAGAGAAATGTAATGATTGCTTAAAGTTAATTGGGTAAGTACACTGTATACTATGACTGCAATAACAAAGTGTAAGAGAAGGAATGATCTAAACAATGGACATTTATTTTCTCACAGCTCTGGAGGCTAGAAGTTCAAAATGAAGGTGTGGGAAAATTCGGTTTCTTTTGAGGTCTCTCCCCTTTGCTTGCAGATATCTTCTGTCTCCTTGTATCCTCACCTAGTGTTTTCTCTATGGTATGCATCTCTGATATCTCCCTGCCTAGCTAAACTTACTGTTCTTATAAGGACACTAGTTATGTTAGTTTAAGGCCTTATTTTAACTTAATGACCTCTATAAAACCCTTTTTTAAATTCAATTACATTCAGAGGTAATAGAGGTTATGATTTCAACATCAATTTGGAGAGAACACAGCTAAGCCCATAACCCTGAGGTCTTAGATTCTGTGGAGATATATTTGAAGCTGAAATTTAGGTTCTGACTTAGATATTAAGTTACTGATGTCAGTGAGAAGTTGTCAGCATAATTAAGAATTTGGTTCCTTCTTAGAACTGTTAAAACTCTTCTCTTACATCTTGCATTTCAATCCCAGTCATCATCATGTTCATTCATAATGCAGTGGGTTCTCTAATTCTATGCAATGAGTGAGACTGAAGACTTTCTTTTTACTTTTAGGTTCAACAATCATTTGAAAACCCAAATGTCAAAGTCCAAATGCCTTCAATTGACAGACAAACTTTGACCAGGCACTTTTACCTTTTCCCAGGAAATTAAAATTAGTAAGTATCTATACATGATGTGAACAAATTAGACAATGAATTAGGGTAGAAGAAAGAGTGGTGATATGCTGTGCATTAGTGGACTACACAATATTTTATGTTTACTGTTTTGTCTTGTCATTATTCTAAAAAGTGCCACCTTGTTTTTGACTATGGACTAGTAACTGATAATAGTTCTATATTTCTGGAATAATTAAGTCAAAATCTAGTCAAAAAATTTTGAAACAACTATTTTCAGATATTAGACAGTGGAAATAGTGGGGCTGCTTTCACTGAGAAAAGGGAAGTGAATAACACCTGTACCAAATACATACTGATGTCAGGAGAACATCTCTGGTATACAATTCAGGAAGGGTAATAGTGGCAAAATGTGAGTTTCCTTGAATTGAGAAAATAGAAATGAGAATTACAGATATTTAGGAAACTTGAATGTCAACAACTGAATTGGAGAGGTGAGGGAAACATACAGAGAAAGAACTCCAGATAGCTACAAAGTGTACTGTTAAGTCTTTGAACATCAATCTGCACGTTTGTAGGATGAACAGGAATCCTTGAAAAGAACCCCTGATTGGGAACTATTAAGCTGAACAGTCCACAAAGTTCACACAGCATTGGCAGATGGTTGAATTCTAACCAGGTCAAGTGAACAAGCCTTCAGAATAATTACTAGGGATCCCAGACAGGTCCTGCCCTAGAAGGTGAGCAAAAATATTCCTGTTATAAAGACTACTCTAGAACTTCACTAACCACACTTAAAAAATAGAATAATAAATGATTAACAAATAAAGTTTAGTATATGCCCAAACAAGTGTCTCATCAAAAACTTTAAATATGCAACATCTGTCTTACAACCTACTAAAAAATGGCTACACATTCATTGTCAAATAACTATCTGAAAATCCCCTAAATGCTATTAAACATATAGGCCAAGATATGATTAAATTACTAGACAATGACTTAAAATGTATATTAAATTTAGTCTAAATGATATTAAGAAAACCATGACAGGGGCAGGGACCGTGGCTTACTTGGTTAATCCTCCACCTGCAGTACCAGAATCCCATAAGGGCGCTGGGTTCTAGTCCCAGTTGCTCCTCTTCCAGTCCAGCTCTCTACTGTGGCCCAGGAAGGCAGTGGAGGATGGCCCAAGTGCTTGGGCACCTGCACTCACAAGGGAGACCAGGAGGAAGCGCCTGGCTCCTGGCTTCGGATCGGTGCAGTGCCAGCCGTGGTGGCCATCTGGGGAGTGAACCAATGGAAGGAAGACCTTTCTCTCTGTCTCTTCTCACTGTGTATTACTCTACCTGTCAAATAAAGACAGAGATAGATAGAGATAGAGATAGAGATAGAGAGAGAGAGAGAGAGAGAGAGAAATTGAAATATGGTAGAAACAGGATCCAAACCAAATTTCCAGAGCTGAAAAAGATAGTTTCTTAAGGAAAAACTCACTGGATCTTGTTAGCTGCAAATTACAGACTCAAAGAGAAAAGTAGAATTGTTGTTTTAGAAACAGAAACTATCCAGAATAAAAATAGAGGAACAGAACAAAATAGACACAGAACCTCAGTATGTTGTTGGACGTAACAAATGATTTAGCAAATATACATGTAATTGGATCTCCAGAAGGAGAGGAGAAATTGGCATATAAAATATACAAAAAATAATGGCAACACTTTTTCATAATTGATATACCACAAATCCACAAAATCAAGAAAATCAATGGCCAGCGGCTCGGCTCACTTGGCTAATCTTCCACCTGCGGCACCGGCACCCCAGGTTCTAGTCCCGGTTGGGGTGCCGGATTCTATCCCAGTTGCTTCTCTTCCAGTCCAGCTCTCTGCTGTGGCCCAGGAAGGCAGTGGAGGATGGCCCAAGTGCTTGGGCCCTGCACCCGCATGGGAGACCAGGAGGAAGCACCTGGCTCCTGGCTTCGGATCGGCGCAACATGCCGGCCACAGCGCACCGGCTGTAGAGGCCATTTGGGGGGTGAACCAACAGAAGGAAGACCTTTCTCTCTGTCTCTGTCTACCTCTGCCTGTCAAAAAAAAAAAAAAAAAAAAGAAAGAAAGAAAAGAAAATCAATGAATTCCAAGCATGATGAATCCACAGAAAGAAGGATAAATTTCTAAAAATCAGCAACAGAAACAATTGTTTTTAAAACCACAGAGGATGGGGCTAGCATGTGGCACGGTGGGTAAAGCTGCCGCCTGCAGCACTGATATCCCATATGGGTTCTGGTTCAAGTTCCGGTTGCTCCTCTTCCTATCTAGCTCTCTACTTTTGCCTGGGAAAGCAGTAGAAGATAGTTCAATTCCTTGGGCCTCTGTACCCATGTGGGAGACCCAAGAAGATGCTCCTGGCTCCTGGCTTAGGACCTGCTCAGGTTCAGCTGTTGCTGTCATTTGGGGAGTGAACCAGTCGATGGAAGACTTTCTTTATCTCTCTCTCCCTCTCTCTCTCTCTGTCTCTGCCTCTCTGTAACTCTTTCAAATAAAATAAATCTTAAAAAATTAAAACTACAGAAGATTGATACACTGTGTATAGTTGAAAAAGTTTGAAAAATGCCAAACTCCTTGTCAGATATAAAACTCACAATGTGGACATCTATAACAAAAACATATTGAGGGGCTGGCGCTGTGGTGCAGTGGGTTAACACCCTGGCCTGAAGCGCCAGCATCCTATATGGGCACCAGTTCTAATCCAGGTTGCTCCTCTTCCTCCAGCTCTCTGCTATGCCCTTGGAAAGCAGTAGAAAATGACTCAAGTTGTTGGGCCCCTGCACCAGCGTGGGGGACCTGGAAGAAGCTCCTGGCTCCTGGCTTCGGATTGGCGCAGCTCTGGCCATTGCAGCCATCTGGGGAGTGAACCAGCGGATAGAAGACCTTTCTCTCTCTCTCTCTCTCTCTCTGTCTCTCCTCACTCTGTGTAACTATGACTTTCAAATAAATAAATCTTTAGAAAAACATATTGAAACAATAATTTTAAAGTGCTGAAAGAAAAACAAAACATCAAAATAGAATGCTATTTCCAGCAAAAAAAAAAAAGTCATTTAAAAGTGAAAGGGAAATAAAATTACAAAATGAAACAAAAAAGGAAAATATTTACCAAATGACATTAAATCAGAAATCCAAGTTTATTTTATTTGTTTTCATTTTCATTTTTAAGGAAGAGAGAGGGAAGAAGATCTTCCAACCACTGGTTCATTCTCAAATGCCAGCCAACAGCATAACCAGGCTGAATCCAAGAAGTTAGAATTCAATCTGAATTTCCCAGGTCTGTGTCAGGATATAGTGTGTCTCAAGATTCACATTAGCAAGAAGCAGATTGGAAGAGTAGTAGCCTGGACTTGAACCAAGCACTTCAATATAGGAATTGGGCAACCCACGCAATACCAAACATCTGCCCCAAGAACTCAATTATTTAAAAAATAAATAAACAAATAATTAAATAAGTACAGTAAACTACAAAAGGATAAATAAAGAAAATTTTTAGGTGCAAGAAAAATTTCACCAGAAGGATATTTAGATCAACAGAATTATGACATACTCATTTAAGGCTTTTCTTTTTCTCTCATTAAAATTTTTTTTAAAAGGGGGCTAGCTCTGTGGCATAGTGGGTAAAGCTGCTGCCTGCAGTGCTGGCATCTCATATGGGCATCGGTTCGAATACATTTCCGATCCAGCTCCCTACTGATATGCCTTGGAAAGCAGTAGAAGATGGCTCAAATGCTTGGGCCCCTGGATCCATTCTGTAGGCCCGGAAGAAGCTCCTGGCTCCTGTCTTTGGATTGGCCCATCTCCAGCTGTTGTGGTCATTTGGGGAATGAACCAGTGGATGGAAGATTGCTCTCTCTCTCTCTCTCTGTCTCTGCCTCTCTGTAACTCTGCCTTTCAAATAAATAAATAAATCTTTAAAAATTTCTTTAAAAGATAATTGTTTAATATAAAAATATATAAATGTACTGCTGATGTATAACAGATTAAGTAATACAATGTATGACAACACAAAGGCTGGCATATGAAACAGAAGTATATTTTAACCTACTTACATTATGTTTTATATTATATGTAAAGTAAATAATATTTGAAAAATAGAATATAATAAATCAAATATAGACATTGTAAAATCATAAAAACTTCTAAAATTAGTGGAATGGCTAATAGGGTAAGAAAGAAGACAAAATAAATACTATATATTACTATATACATATATGTATATATTCAGCTAATTCAAAACAAAGTAGAAAAAGGACATATTTTAAAAAGCCAGTAACAGGGTTCACTGTTATGGCATAGTGGATTAAGCCACTATCTGTGACACTGGCATCCCATACAAATACTAGTTCTATTACTGGCCACTCCACTTCTGGTCCAACCCCCTGCCAAAATTCCTGAGAAGACAGCAGAAAATGGCCCAAGTGGTACTTGGGCCCCTGCCATTCATAGGTGAGACCTGGATGGAGTTCCAGGATCCTGCCCCAGCCCCAACTGTTGTGTCCATTCAGGGAATGAACTAGCAGATGGAAGAACTCTATCTTTCCCTTAAATAAACACTTTTTTTAAAAAAGCCAGTAACATGTCAGATTCAAATTCAAATACGTGAATTATAATTTAAATTTATAAATTGAAAATACTTGCATATGTTTTAAGTGCTCTGAATAAAATACAGAGTTGTTAAAAACAATACACAAGTATATGCTATCTAAAAGAAGAACACGTTTAATGTAAAGATACGGTTATGTTCAAGTAAATGCACAAGAAATACATACGGTGAAAACTGATGATAAAGAACACAAAAACCCAGATTATATTTTTAAAAAGAGACACTGATCAGGTTTTGCAAAATTAAAAACTTTTGCTCCTCAAAATACCATTCAGGAGATTAAAAGTAATATAATAGCCTAGAAGAAAATATTCATAGTATGTTTGTTCAACAAATTTCTTGTATTAAATACTTAAAGAATACTTTATAACCCAATAAGAAAACAAATTACTAGATAAAAATGAGCAGTTCATTTGGAAATTTTAAGAAAGAAGCTACAAAAAATGGTTAAGAAGTGCATAAAGTGATCTTTCACAACATTAATCCTCAGAAAAAAGCAAATTGAAACCACAGTAAAATATTAATATGTAGTCAAATCTGCAAACAACCTAAGTAGACATTAACAAGTGACTGAATAAACACCTATACAAGCATACTCATAGAGTACAATGCTTTTCACTAATAAAAAACCATGAAGACTTCTATACATCAAAGTAGAAAACTGTCACAAGCACCACTGGTCACACAGCTCAACAAGGCTAATGCTATGCTTTGGAGCACAGGGAAGAATCACACAGAATCGTGATAGTCTTTTTAATATAATTTATTGTTCAATACCACTCAATATATATTCAGTGCACACATCTAAAGGTCAAAACTACTCAATATGTCATTAGTCCACAGGTCATAACACACATCTAGGAGTAAGACAACCTCTAAAAATATCCTGCAATAGTAGTAAGTATAACACATACAAACATAAAGGCATAATCGATCTAAACAGTCATGGCTAAGGGTGTAATATGAATGCTGCATTCCCAAGGTTCATATCATGGTCTAGAAAATCAAAGTCCAGAGTCCAGAGTCTCCGTTACCAGTCAGAGAGATCTCAGAACAGTCACTTACGGACAGTAGTGGGGAGATGAATGGCACTCTGGGCAGTAGGCTCGATGGTGAAGGGTTGGAGAAGTTACCAATAAGAAGTCCAATCCAGCTCCAATGTCAGCTCCGGCAGCGGCTGGGACGTCCAGGCGAGATTGGATCCAGCAGAGTGGGGAGCAGTTTTGGTCAGTGAAGACTCAAGCAGACTTTCGGCAAGATGAGGTGGATCCACTCGACCATCACTGGCACTGAGCCAAGGTCCCCGAGGGGATGAAGAGCAGTTGTGAGGCTTGCCTTTTATCCCCCCTCTGGAGTAGGTGGGCGGTGAATGTGCTCTAGGGTGTCACCAATCACAGGCTCATCATTTTGGGTGTCACCAACCAGATGTTAGTGTTTGGGTGTGACCAATGGTGTGTTAGGGGTCTTCTGGGTGTGGCCAATTGTGGTGCAGTAGTGTCAGTGAAGTAATGTGGTAGCCAGCTGGTTGGCTTCTTATGATGTAATGTCTCCCAGTCCTTATCAAGCTTCATCATCTATGTCTGTTCTGACAGAGGGTCTGGGCAGTTCCTGGTGCTTGGTGGCATCAGCTTAAGTAACTCCATTTTGGTTTTGCTTTGTAGTCTTAGTTTAAGTAACTCCATTTTGGTTTTGCTTTTTCTCTTGCTTTTTGGGTTAGTGGTGCTTTGTAACTCTTTTGGGACTCCTGTGGGATTTCCCACAAAAACTCTCCAAAAATATTTTATTAATCAAAAGAATGTTTTACAAATAAGACATATTATACTATGTGAACCACATAAATTATTGTAAAATTATTATAAAATACAGAAATAATTATAAAAACAAATCTTTGTCAATACTAATTAGATCAGTGGTTTCCTTGAATTTGGGGTTGTTGTAATTGACTGCAATTGGACTTGTTAAGATACTGGACATATTTTGTGCATGTCTGCAAATTATACCATACCAATGTGAACTAAAGATAAAGATAAGCAATTCAAATGACATTTTTCATAGGATAAAAGGCAAATACTAATGGTATATTAACTTTCAGATAGGTATCAATTCACATATATTAATCTAAGAAAATGCATTCAGTTGTTTATCAAAAATGATGGTTTGATTGACTGATATGTAGATACCAATAACTTGGGTGATGTATTATTAGCGTGAGATACTCTAATATTTAGCCTTTACTCATATTGATAGTACTGTCATTTTAACCACTTTCAAATACTCTCCATGTGTAATTCAGGCTATTAAATTCCATGCACAGAATTTTGGGTGAGTCACTCAAGTATTTAAGCTGACACATTTAACTTTCTCCAAACTGTTCAAATATATATAATTAACTGAGTCATATATTCATTTATTTCTACCAACAGTGTTTATTATATTGAGTAATAGAGGTATGTTAGCTTGTTTAAATAGAATAGTACACTTCAAAATTTTATTATAAATTAACTTCAATTATTATATAAATTAGTAATCCACCCAAATTATTCCTTCTTATATCTACTACACCAGTTATTTCAACATAGATGTGGTCAGTCCAACACAATAAACTGTACTTTTCCTAACAAGACCTAACAAGATACTTAGACCTTACAGTTTAGAATTGCGTAATAGCTAATTTGTGACTGGAAACACTGCAAACCCTCCCTTAAATTCCTTAAATTCTTTATCATTCTCAACCAGAGATGTATTTGTGTATGGTAGACTGAGACTATTCATGATTACAGACATCATCCCTGAAACACAACTGCCACACCTAATCACTCTTATTTCTCTCTCTTCCAAAGGAAGTCAGTAAAGACGTCCTTGTGTATCTACTTTCTGAAGAAAATTTACTAATCTAGTAGTTTTTGAAATTTTTATTGATTTAAATAAAATGTAAAAACCAAATTAACTGAATATGTACCGAGGTTTTCTTTTGTTCATGTGTGAAAAACAGTTTTTCCATGAGAAATATGGTCACAGAAGCTTCAGGAAAAAAGATATGAATGAATGAAATGAAATGAATGAATATGAAAAAAGCTGAATGAATTTAATTAAATAAGCTACATTTCTACTAATGTCACTGAAGTGGTTCATATAGCCCAAAATTAATGACTTATAGGATCTTCCATGGCCTGATGTTACTATGGAAGTAATTTCTTTCTTACATGCCATGCTAGATTTCTGTTGATTGCTTTCCTGTTGTTTTAATTCTATAATGTCTCAAAGTGTAGAGATATTGAGTCATCTACTTGGCATTCCCAATTTGGCAGTCATACCATATTCTTAATACTAAACACTCAGAATAGCTTGGGGATTAAAATATAAGTTGAACATTATAATTATCAAAGTCACTTTATGGAATGAAAATTTTGTATTAGCATGGTAAATTCTGCTACACATATATAATATGTGAAATATCCATTTCTGTAGAACAAATTGTGCCTTAATTTGATGGCTTAAAAAAACAAAAATTATTTTATCATTCTGTGTGACAAGAATCCAGTATGCAATTTGTGAAGCTGAAGATGACACTAAGGCTATATTCCTACAGCTGAAGGCTCAATGGAAGAACCAGATGTACTTCTAGGCTCATTCAAATGGTGAGCTTAATCCTGACTGTATCCGGATTTCAGTTCTTCCTTGGTTGTTGACCAAGAAACTTTGCTCAGTTCCTTAATAGATGAGTCCCTTTAATATGGTTGCTCCCAATGTGTCAGCTAGCTGGCATGAGAGTAAACAAATGACAAGAGAAGTGAGCAAATGGAAACTAAAGTCTTCCAGTTATGTAATTTTAGAAATCACATCTCATTGACTTTGCCACATTTTACTTATCAGAATCAACATACTAAGTTCAGCCCATACTCAAGGAAGAGGACATTACATAAAGTTGTAAGTAGTAGGATATGAGTCATCCTAGAAGCTGCCTCTTACACATAGTAACAACTTAATTTCTAACTTAACTAGCTAAAGTATTTCCTATAGTCTACAAGTGAATCATAGCCAAAACACTAAGAATCCTGAAGCTATACTCCATAGGCTCTGTGATCTTAAGAACCAGCTTTGGAGTTTTATAATTGCCTTCTTTCACAACTAATTTCAAGAGGAAAGAACCACAAAAGGATGACTATTATCCTCCTCATGATCTAAATCAGATCAACCCTGGTGATCTTTGACAAATAGGTCTCTGAGTTCTTTATTCTCATTTTCAAATTGAGAACAATAATGTATATCACACAGGGCTTCTCTAAGGCAAAAGCCTTCTTTGTATTATCCTGCTGAATAAATTTTGCTTCTCTGAGCCCTGGATCTATATATTTCAGAACTCTGATGGTCTGAATTCTGAGAAAATTCTGAAAATTCTCTTTAATTCCTTTTTTCCCTAGTCTTTATATTGTGTCTATCTGAAATGTGATTGATTGAGTTTTAGTCCCTATGATCTTCAACCTTGATTTCACAATTGTTAACATGTCATATTACATGGTAAAAGAGTCTCTGTAACAAAAATTACTTATTAATTTACCATAATACAGAGATACTGTCTTGGGTTGTCTGGATGAGTCAAGGGCAATCACATGATTCTTGAAAAGCATAGCTGGAGCACAAGTGATGCAACAGAAGGGAATGCCAGAGATATTCCAAGGGTGAGACTGACTTGACAAATTCCTGCTGGTTCTGATATGGAACCTTGTATAAAGACTAGGGCAAGGCCATTAGGAACTAGAATAACTCCCAGCAGATATCAAGGAAGGAAATGTAACCCCAGTCCTATGACCACAAAGGATGGGGTTCAGCCAACAAAAGGGATGAGCCTGAAAGTAGATTACTTCCCATATACTCTAGTAAGGCAGGAAGCCCTGCTGACATTTTATTTTTTATTTTTAAGAAATTTATTTTATGCATTTGAAAGACAGAGTGACAGAAAAGAAAGAAAGAGAGAAAAGGAGATTTTCCATCCTCTGGTTCACTCCCCAGATGGCTGCTTGGCTCCTTGGCTTACCAGGGCAGAACTAGAAGCCAGGAATTCCATCTGGATCTCCCACATGGATGGCAGGGGACCAAACACTTGGGCCATCCTCTTCTATTTCCCTGGCACATCAGCAGTGATTTGGATTTCAAACAGAGCAGCTGGGACTCAAACCAGTGCTCCAGTATGGGATGCTAGCATCGTAGGCAGCAGCGTAACCCACTGTGACACAACATCAGCCCCAACACTTTAATTTTAACCTAAGATCTCTGTCAGCATCCTAGAAAATTGTGGCATAATAAATTTTTATTGCTTTAAGCCAGTGAATTTGTAGTGATTTGTGATGGCAACAAAAGAAAGCTAATATTACAAACACAATAGACTTTCTTTTTCTAACCTCCATATCTATAATCTCTTGGATATTTTTCATCTCCTTATCTTCCTTTGCTGCATTTTGAATAGCTTATTTACATTTATCATCTAATTCATCAATTCTCTCATCAACAATGTTCATACTCAGCCTATCCTTTGAGTTTTTATTTCAATGATTGTAGTTTGTACTTAGAGAAGCTCCAACTTTCAAAATATGTTAAAGTTATTGCCATTAATAATTTATTCGTTCCTCTTTTCATGAATTTATTTGGGCCTTTTCTACTCAGTTCCTGTGCATTCTTTTTCTGAATAGTCTAACATCCGTAAATCTGTCGCTCCCCCTCTTCGTGGAGGAGCAACACAGGACCCTGCGCTGTTCTTTCGTCTGCTCGGCCCTCCCCGGGTTTGCTGCTGGTTCTTCCCGGGTTGGCTACTATCCCTTCCACCTCCGTGGAAGGGCAGTTCCCCCTGGCCGCATTCCCCACTTCCGCAGGGGAGCGGCACACCGCCGGCCGGCTCTCTGGGGGCTGCACGGGTTCCCTTAGGTGTTCCCCATAGATGTTCCTGGTGCATGCCGTCTCTCTCCTCCTTTATAGTCCTCCTCCGCCAATCCCAACTCGGCTGAGTACGCTGCTCTCCAATCAGGAGCAAGTCCTACAGTTAATTGGTTGAACTGGAGGCAGCTGTGCGGAAGCTGTTTACTTCTCTCCCAGCGCCATATTGTGGGAGAGCAGATGCATAGAATAAGTCCTAATTCGAGCAACTTAGTCTAGTCCGGATTGCTCCCCACAAAATCCTTCTGCCTTTAAACTTCTGCTTTCTTGTTTATATTGACTTCCACTCACCGCTTGCTTTGTGGTGTGTTTTCATGGTGAAATATCTGTGATTAAATGTGTTGATATTTCAATGGACCTGACTTGCAAAACTTTCCTCCAGAGTCTGCTTGTTTATGGCCCTGCCAAATAGCCAAGTGACACATCGGATTCATGATCATTCAGATTCACTGCCTTTCATGAGTTTAAGATCCTTCCTGAGGTTTCACAGTTCAGCCTCTTCCAGCAATCTCACAGCACGTAATCACCTCCTCAAAGTCCCCACACTTCCTGGCTGTCTGCCAATTCCGGCAAGCTCATGGTTGCTCCACCTGTCACCAATCTTTGCAGCTTCCATCCTAGTTACCCTAGGTACCAGCTGTTTCCTCCCTGTTTCCTGGCTCCAATGCCTCAACCACTAAGAGCCCTTTAGAGTACCAGCAGTTCTTCAAAAATGGTAAACAATCAACATCTGGATTTTTGTGGAGTATGAAGGAGTCCCAGAGAATCCATAAATTTCCAGTAATAGAAGTATATATTTAAAACTATGCATTATAAATATGCAGCAACCTAAGTCTCTTTCTTGAAAATGTTGATTCAGTCTCTCTGGAGTGACTCAATATTTTAGAAAGTATTATCAGGTTTAGCTTGGATCAAATACTTATTTAAGGATAGGACAGACATGAAGCATTTGGAATAGCAGACACAGGGACATAATATGTGACCATCACACTCAATCAGCAACACTAGTCCACAATTATCATTTGCTTATAGTTTGAATTACACATGTACTGTGATTCTCCTAATCCTTCTCAATTTGGATCCAGTCTCTCAAAATTTATCCCCCACTGCTTCCAAACAAAGCACTCTTCTCCAGCCAAAATTCTTTATTTTCCTTTCCTCCTTCACATGATTCCAACCACTTGAATTTATCCATATTAGTGTCTGAATCGTCCTGAGCTCTCAGGTCTACTCTGAACAGATACAGAGATATGATCTTTGGACTTAAGTAATCATACCACACCTTGAGCATTTATTGACTCTATCACCTTGCGAAAGAGATTTATTTTCCAGAAGCCTGCATTGCCTCATTTGTAAAGGTGGGGTGCAAATACCAATTTCTCAGTGCTATTGGGCTCCAACAGTAACCAGAACAGGATATGCTATTAGCAAATCATTAACCTTTACCAGAACTTAAGTAAACAATTTTACTCTGCATGTTCTGAGAACATTTCTTGTTACCTGCGTGACATCCTTCACACCATATTTAATTCTCCTGTATATTATATACCATTCTTGATCTATGTTCCTTTGCATGGTAATTCAATTTATTCATATGCTTATTTCCTGTCAGCTCCAAAATATTTTAAACTCTAAGAGCACAATCCAAGTCCCATCATACTTCAAAGATATTTTCCACCACAGTGCTAGAATGGGGAGCAATCAGCCTATCACACAGAGCCCAGAATTGAGTGAGAAGGATCCTTGGGCCAGAAAAATTTCTAAAGAACTAATATTTAGTATTCATCTTCATAATATTTTGTTTAACACAAAGAAATCTGTGAGCAAATTTACAAAGAAATGTAAGATATCAGGATACCTTCCTTCAAAACAATTGCTACTATAATAACATTCATGTTCATATATGGTCAGGAAATTATTTTGTACATATTATACTAAATAATCACAATAAGTCTAAGTAACAAAGGATAAAAAGGTAACTACAGATGATGAAACTGAGGCTTAGAGAGGTTTACTAACTCATTCAACCTCATGCAGCTAAAAATGTACACATGCAACAAAGGGTTATTTGGCAGCAAATCTGGGAAGAGGGGGGAGTTTATAAAAAGGGGGCAAATATTATTTTTTCTTAGTGCTATCATTAAGGTATATTCCCTGCATATTGTCTAGAAAAAAAATGAGGCCAGTGCCACGGCT